CAAGATCTGCTTCGACAAGCGATCGACAAAAACCACAATGCCAGAGTGGCCACGCGTGGTTTTTGGCAGCCCGAGAATCAAATCCATGGTGATTTGTTCCCAGCGCTGGCTCAGGAGGGACTCGGAGTGGTTGGAGTAACCCGGCCGTCGGTTGCTGGGTTTGTTGGCCTGGCATTGCGGGCAGCTCCGGATATAGCGGCGGACATCGCGCTAGAGATCTGGCCAGCAGAAGGATCTACCGACCAGATCCTCCGTTCTGTCCATGCCGAAGTGTCCGGACGCTTGGCAGTCGTGGTGTTCCTTGAGGACGCGTGTACGGAGCGTGGGAACTGGAGGAATGTACAGGCGGTCAGGCTCAAAAAGCAACCCATCGTTAAGCGAGAAGGTCGCGTAGGCAGTGTCAGCGGAGAGCATGGCGGAGATAGCGGTCTGTGCGAATGGGTCAGTGGTGATGGCCTGGCGGACAGTAAGGGTCAGGGATAACAGTGGACACTGCGGCTAAGACGGGCTGGTTAAGCGGGGGTTCCGCCTTATGGTCAGGGCGGCGGGACAGTGCGTCTGGTACAATGTTAAGACGCCCTTCCCGGTACACCAGTGCGAGGTTGAATCGGGCAAGCTGTTCTTCCCACCGGTGATGCCTGGACTTCATGAACTCGAGCCTGAGAAGGAAAATAAGTGGTCGGTGATTAGTGCGCACAGTGACCGGGCGTCCAAGAAGTTAATGACGCCATTTGTGCGTGGCGTGCACAAGGGCTGGCTGTTCCTAGTCGCGTGCGGAGTAGTTCCGCTCAGCTCGGTTGAGCCGCTTGGATTCAAACGCGACCGGCAGAAGTTCGCTGTCCGTACCCTGCAACAGTACCCCTCCCACCGCAAAATCCGATGCATCGAGATCGACCGTACAGGGAAGCGAAGGGTCGTAAGGGCGGAGGATGGGTGCGTGGGTTAGGGCGTACTTAGGTGAGCGGAACGCGTGAGAATGGCGGTCAGTCCAGACAAACGGAGTGTCCTTAACTAACAGGTCAATGAGCAGAGCGGCGATCTGTGAGAAGCGGTGGACAAATCGACGGTAGAAACCAGCAAGGCCGAGAAACGAGCGAATGTCGCCCGGATCTTGCGGCTGAGGCCACGCATTAACTGCGTCGACCTCGGAGGCTTCCATGCTGACGCCGTCCTTGTTGATGACGTGGCCGAGGAAGGTGACTTCTGTACGCCACAGCTCGCACTTGGACTCCTTGGCGTAGAGTTTGTGGGTACGGAGGCGGGTGAAAACTTTGCGGAGGAGTCGCTCGTGTTCTTCTGCAGATTTGGAATAAATGAGTATGTCATCAAGGAAAATGACGACGCCTCGGTCCAGCAGATCGTGAAAGATTTTGTGCATCAAGTCCATGAACACAGCCAGGGCGTTAGTGAGACCGAAGGGAAGCACTGTTGGAGATAAGTACTTCAACTTTCCACCTAGGCCATCCCTGCGCAG